GAGATCTTGGAATCATCATTGATAGTTCTCTGAAAACATCTGCTCAGTGTGCTGCAGCAGTCAAAAAAGCTAACAGAATCATAGAATCTGGAAGGGACCTTGAGATTCCCCTTAGTCCAGTCCTCTGCACTCATGGCAGGACTAAGTATTATCTAGACTATCCCTAACAGGTGTTTGTTTAGCCTGCACTTAAAAATCTCCAATTTTAGAGATTCCACTATCTCCCTAGGCAATTTATTCCAGTGCTTAACCACCCGGACAGTTAGGAAGGTTTTCCTAATGTCCAACCTAAGCTGCCCTTGCTACAATTTAAGCCCATTGCTTCTTGTCCTATCCTCAAAAGTTAAGGAGAACAATCTTTCTCCCTCCTCCTTGTAACAACCGTTTTTGAACTTCAAAGCTTTTATCATGTCCCCTCTCAGTCTTCTCTTCTCCAAATTAAACAAACCCATTTTTTTCAATCTTCCCACACAGGTCATGCTTTCTAGACCTTTAATCATTTTTGTTCCTCTTCTCTGGACTTTCTCCAATTTGTCCACATCCTTCCTGAAATGTGGCCTCCAGAACTGGCCACAATACTCCAGTTGAGGTCTAATCAGCACAGAATAGAGCAGAAGAATTACTTTTCATGTCTTGCTTACAACAGTCCTGCTAATACATCCCAAAATGATGTTTGGTTTTTTTGCAACAGTGTTGACTCCTATTTATCTCGTGACCCCCAGATTCCTTTCTGCAGTACTCCCTAGGCAATCATTTCCCATTTTGTATGTGTGCAACTGATTGTTCTTTCCTAAGTGGAGTACTTTGCATTTGGCCTTATTGAATTTCGTCCTATTTGCTTCAGACCCTTTCTCCAGTTTGTCCAGATCATTTTGAATTTTAATCTTATCCTCCAAAGCACTTGCAACCCCTCCCAGCTTGGCATCCTTTGCAAACTTTATAAGTGTACTCTCTATGACATTAACTAAATCATTGGTGAAGATATTGAACAGAACCGGACTCTGCAGGACCCCACTTGATATGCCCTGATAATGTTGTTCTTTACTATTGTTTCACCCAATTTGCCTGGTATATTGGAATTGGAAAAGGTACAGAGAAGGGATACAAAATGATCAAGAGTATGGAACAATTTCTATACGAGGAGAGATTAAAAAGACTGGGACTGTTCAGCTTAGAAAAGAGACGACTCAGGGTGGGGGGACATATACTCATGAATGATGTGGAGAAAGTGAATAAGGAAGTGTTTATTTACCCACTCACATAACACAAGAAGCCAAGGTCACTCAATGAAATTAATAGGCAGCAGGTTTAAAACAAACATAAGGAAGTGCTACTTCACACAGTAAAAATTCAACCTATGGAACTCGTTGCCAGGGACTGTTGTGAAGGCCAAAAGGATAACTGGGTTCAAAAAAGAATTCGATAAATTCATGGAGGATAGGTCCATCAATGGCTATTAGCCAAAATACTCAAGGATGCAACCCCATGCTCCAGGGGTCCCTAAACTTCTGACCATCAGAAGCTAAGACTTGAGAACTGGGAATGGATCATTTGATAATTGCCCTGTTCTTACATTCTCTCCAACATCTGGCACCAGCCACGGTCATACAGGGTAGTCATACATATGGGGTAGTCATACAGAGTGATCTGGATCACTTGGTAAGCTGGGCGCATTCAAACAAAATGATTTTAAAATGGCCAAATGCAAAGTTATACATCTAAGAGCAAGGAATGCAGGCCATACCTATCGAATAGATAACTGTATCCTAAAAATCAATGACCCTGAAAAAGATCTAGAGAGCATAACTCAGCATCGTCTCCCAGTGCAATCTTGATTTCATCTATGTTACAGACATCTCACTTTCTTTCTTTCTTCTCTTTTTTTTTAATGACTCAAACTGAAAGTATATGCCAGATTTTTTTTAATTTTGCAAAAAGTTCTCCTGTACTCTGTTCCAAATTATAGTTTAAAGCCCTTTCAGTTTTGAACGAAGAAAACTGGTATCTCCTTTACTTAAGTAAAGACCATATAATCTAAGTCTGCCTCTTAGCAGAAGGCATTACACAAAGCTCTGTCAAACCAAAGCTTTCTTTTCTACATTATCACCTCATTCAGCCATTTGTCGGTGTGGTCTTTTTCTGTTGGCAATAGATCACTGACAAGAAACCTTCATCAATAGACTGCAGTTTTCTCTTCTCCGCTCCCTAAAGTCATCTGAGCCTATCAAATCTTTTTCTTGTGTCAGTTTCCAAGTATTTGTATTAAGTGGAAATTCACCAGCATTCTCTAGGAGCATAGATTCTAGAGAGGGAAAAGACCTTTTAAAAGTTATCTAGTCCATCTCTTTGCCATCTCTTTTGTCCTTATACTTTTCTTGTCCTGGCACCTGGGAGGCAGCGTACCATCCCAGTCTCTCTATCTAGATCAAATGATCTATGGTTCTTTTATAGTGCCCATCACTGTAGTATCTAAGCATCGATTCTGAGCCATGATTTCATTATTAAAGCATGTATCAAAACCACTTCTCTCTCCTTCCCCTTGAGTGATCATCTTTCAGTGCTTACTTTTCCTTCACTAGTTAAGACTACTATTCTCTGCTTCTTCCCAGTTTCATCATCCTCTAACTCAGCAAGTGCAGAATATTCTCTGGAACTCATTTATTTGCTATTCACTGTGCTCAAAGACTGCTATGCCTGGCTCTGTTCCACACCAACACTTGTAACCATTCACAAACCTCCCAGTGTTCTCTAACCTTCCACACAGTTTTTAAATGAAGCCTGCTAAACAGATCACAACTAGCTGTAAAAAAAACTCACCAAACCAGCACTTTTTGTGTCAGCCATTCATACAGAAAATACAGACCCTATACCTGTTTTTCCAAAGTCTCACAAGCACATCTGAGGTCTTCTGCTCAATGCTAACGAAGCTAACTGTCTGACCTTTATTGTATTGTTCTTAATTTGTCTGTTTATTAGTCACTCACCAGCGCTCACACTTAGCTCCTGCCTCTAACTCGGATCAAAACGTATTTTATTAGGACTCATTCTTGATGCTGCCTTCACTTCAGCTGGCCTCCCAGACACCACTCATTTGGTATTTCCTCTTTCCTCTCCCCTACTTTAGTTTTGCCTTCCAGGATCATGCCTTGTTATTGCTCCAGCTAGTATTGCTTACTAAAAAGAGCTGGATGCAGCAGCAAAAAATAACATTCTCTGGTTTGGTTCACACCCTGCACCTGCTGGACCATACAAAAGCTATTCTGTCTAAGAGCAGCCCAGATGCAATTCTCCACTGCTGCTGTGCTTGGTAAGGAAGGAGAGGCGAACAGCCACGTAGTATATCTTCTGACCCCTTGCACAGCGGGCACAGCAGGGGGAGTACCATAGCACTGAGCACTACAGGAGATCCTGGACTGTTGCACAGCCCAGATGTAGCCCTGGGGAGCCAGAACAGGAACATGAGCAGTCCAGAATCTAAAAGCTGTGAAGATGGTGTCCCCCCAGACAGTTCAGAAGATGAAGCACAGAATCTTTCCCTAGGTCTGTGTTGCTCCTGCGCATAACACTTTTTATGGCATAGGAAAACTAGAGTGAAAGTGACCAGAGGCTTATTCCATTCAGGTTTTACTACTATTGCTGAGTGCCATGTGCAGGAGTCACAGTGCAAGTGTGATTCTTCCGCAAGGGAATTTCAAGTGTGGTGAAAAAGAGAGGGGAGGGCATGCAGGGTGGAATAACTGCAAACCCACTCCAGATGTACAGCTGATATGATATCCTGTATTATAACAAGGCAAAACCATGGAATCTACAGAGCCGTTCTTTAGCGAACAGCTGCTAACAATAACTTCTAAAGATTGGCTTGCTACCTATGAGCACTTGTAAAGCTCCTATACTTTATGATGTACTACCAAACTTTTAATAAGGAGCTCTCCCACAAAAACGTTCCATCACAGGGGACTATTCATGAGACAATCCCCCAGCAATAGACCTCCCCCCAAAATAATCATTTCTATATCCTTCCCCCCAAAAATCTAACTTCTTCCACTTCCATTCCAGCCCAATAATGTCCCAACCATGGTTCCTCAGAATCCCATAAATAAAACACTAGGTGGCTCTTGCAGTATCCCTGTGGCTCAAGGATCTTGGGAAGGATAAACGACACGATGACTAAATTTAATTAACTCCATCTTTATAAACTGTGGTGAGGGAGAGGAACAGAGAGTGCCTCAAGTCTACTGAAGTGGAAGTAGGGCCACAGGGTTTCGCCGCCATCACCTCCTTTCAGCCCTAGTGAGTGGTTTACTTTTGGGGGGTAATCTTCAATTAATTAATTAAAAGGAGCAGAAACTTACTTTATTATTTATTATTCTTAATTTTATTATTATTGTTTTAAAAAATAAAAGCTGTTTCATGGACCCAGAGGCTGGCTCAGTTAACAAGGAGATCCTACAAACTCCCTCCATCTCAGTGCACAGCATATACTATACTGACTCTAGTAACATGCATTACAATAAGGTAAACATTGCAAAATACAGAAATATCCATGCAAGTGTCTGCTTAATTTACATGGCACATCTATCTAGGTACTTATATGATTCCCCATCCTGTAGGTCTGAGCACCTATACAACAATTTAACCAAGTCTTAAAAATACATTAAATATGCTGGAGTTAAAATGAAGATAATTTCCTATTCTGGTTTCTGGCAATAATTAAGACATAACTGACAACTTAAACCAGCCAAATGGATGAAATATTAAATTTCAAATGATTATAATTGAGATTTACTATTAACATAATATACGGAGCAAATAAGCAAAATATTCTAGTTTAAACTAATTTCATCAGTATCCAAATAAAAAGCAAGCTCTCAATGCACACGTCACTGAATAGAGTTATGGCACACATACAACATTTAAATCCATCAATCCATTCCAAAGTACGATTTCATCTACAATTCTGAGATACACAAAAGCATTTACAAGAGAAGGCAAGTACTTACTTTTTGGCAAGTCTCCAGTACTAGACGCTGAAACTGTTCTGCTTCTATCCTGAGATGGGCTGCTCTCATCTCTTTCAGTTACAGATGATCCCTCAGAAACAGCTGAACCACAAGCTACAGATTCTAAAGCTCCAGAGAACATTGAAGCTGAAAATTCAGAGAACTGTGACTCAGGAATTTTATGACGTCCATTTGGCAATTCACCATTAAATTGTTCATAGGAGCTACTATAAGAATAATCACTTTTTGCATTTGGCTCATTGAAGTTATACTCCTCAGGGTTTGGGCACTCTTCCTCTTCCTCATCTTCATCTTCAATCTGTTGTTCCAGTAAGAATGGGCCATTTACAATATGGCCATTTGTTTTGGGGGATTCTATCCATGTAGGGTCTGTGTTAACAAGTTCCTGTTCAACATCATCATCTTTCTCAGTGTTTTCTTTTTCTGTGTCTTCTTTTTCCTCCTGATCTTCTGCTTCACCTTAAGAATGTAATGAACAACGTATTAGATAGTACATCAATATACCTTTTTTGAAATTATGAATTTTCATGATCTTTAACTCCTCAATAACTACTAGACTTCAGTGTAAAGAAACACTTGAATACACAAAGATTTCGACTTTAACTTGAAGTCTTTATTTCATTTATTAGGCATCTCATTTCACTTTTTATTTGGAAATGCTTGTGTTTTACAACTTTGATTATATTCCAATTTCATCTTTATGTTTTAAAAAAAATATTTTTCAGCAAAGCTAACAAGTGATCATTATTATTCACAATTTGTATTATGGTAATGCCCAAAGGTCACATTATGCTGGATGCGGCACTAACATCAGGAGAGATGGTCCACCTCCAAAGAGCTCACCGTCTGCAGCCCTGATCCTGCAGGCTGTTACTTATGTGTGGAGAGCTGTACCTGTGGGGAGCCCCAGTGAACTCAAAGGGGCTCTGCATGGGCATAATTAGAGCCCTACCATATTCACAGTTCATGCTGGTCAATTTCATGGTCATAGGATTTTAAAAATCATAAATTTTGAGTCAGGACCCCCATTTTGACAAACGCTGGTCTCCCCCGTGAAATCTGTATAGTAGAGGGTAAAAGCACGCAGAAGACCAGATTTCATGGGGGGAGACCAGATTTCACGCTCCATGATGCATTTTTCATGGCTGTGAATTTGATAGGACCCTAGGCATAATGGTCTGCATGCTCAGGACAGCTTGCAGGATCAGAGTCTACACTGAAACAAAACACATGTGGACATACCAAACAGCAGGAGAGAATGAAAGAGGAAGGACAAGGATAATCATAAATATGATCATGAAGTTACATAGTTATGTGTACAACTTAGTGGCTCCAAATCTCTATTTGTTAATATAAACAAATGAAGCATCATATAAAGAGCAGCACAGATGTGTCTCAGGAAGGGATCTGAGTAAAAGGGCAATGGCCTTACTGATTAGTTCAAGGGGAACATTATATGGCGGTAGGGTAAGAGAAAGCACTAGTAAAGCTGAGGGAGAAGAGGCCAAATAAGCATTCAAGGCTAGCATCACTGTCAGAATGAAGGGAGTGGTGGCAATGAGTTAAGAGTGGATAAGCAGGGAAGAGCACAGTTATGAAGGTCCTTGAAGGTAAGAACAAGAACCCTGAATCTGATACAGTGGCAAACAGGGAGCCAGTAGAGGGACTCAAAGAAATGCAAGATATTGCCAGAGTAAGGGACAAGAAAGGTGATCCTAGAAGCAACATTTTATCTGGAATGGAGAAGGGCAATGTGAAGATTGGGGAGACCAGAGAGAAGTTGGTTACAGGTTTTCAACCTTTTTTCATTTGCAGACCCCTAAGAAATTTCAAATGTAGGTGGGGACTCTTTTAGAAATCTTAAACAAAGTCTGTGAACCCCCATGGGTCCACGGACAGCAGGTTGAAAACCACTGGGTTACAGTAATCAAGACATAATGAGGGCCTGAAAGAGAGTGTTTAGCAACATGGGAAGAAAGACAAAAGGCATATCTTAGAAATGTTATGGAAGAAGCTGCAGGATTTGCAGATAATTATAATAGTAATAAATTACTTAGATGTGCACAGAAAGGGAGAGGTGGAATCAGAGATGACTCTATAGCTACATTAATTTTATGTAATAAAGATGCAACTTGTTGTTCTGTTACTTCCTCAGGATACTTAGTTATGTCAGCATTTGTAGTAATAATAGATTTTCAGGACCTAAGTAAAATGATTTATATTTAATTAAAGTCTCTTTAATTAAGGTTGTTTTTACCTCATCGCCATTTGATCAGAGAAAACTAGGACTGTCAAGCGATTAAAAAAATTAATTGGGATTTATCATGCTGTTAAACAATAATACAAAATCATTTATTTAAATATTTTTGGATGTTTTCTACATTTTCAAATATATTGATTTCAATTACAACACAGAATACAAAGTGTAGAGTGCTCACTTTATATTATTTTTATTACAAATATTTGCACTGTAAAAAACAAAATAGTATTTTTCAATTCACCTAATACAAGTACTGTAGTGCAATATCTTTGTCCTGAAAATTGAACTTATAAATGTAGAATTATGTACAGAAAATAACTGTATTCAAAAATAAAACCATGTAAAACTTTAGAGCCTACAAGTCCAATCAGTCCTACTTCTTGTCCAGCCAATCGCTCAGACTAACAAGTTTGTTTACATTTGCAGAAGATAATGCTGCTCGCTTCTTGTTTACAACATCCACCTGAAAGTGAAAACAGGGGTCCACATGGTATTGTTATAGCTGGCATTGTAAGATACTTACATGCCAGATGCGCTACAGATTCATATGTCCTTTCATGCTTCAATCACCATTTCAGAGGACATACGTGCATGCTGATGATGGGGGCTGCTCGATAACAATCCAAAGCAGAGTGGACCAATGCATGTTCATTTTCATCATCTGAGTCAGATGCCACCAGCAGAAGGTTGATTTATTTAATTTTTTTTGGTGGTTCAGGTTCTGTAGTTTCTGCATCGGAGCGCTGCTCTTTTAAGACTTCTGAAAGCATGCTCCACACCTCGTCCCTCTCAGATTTTGGAAGGCACTTCAGATTCTTAAACCTTGGGTCGAGTGCTGTAGCTATCTTTAGAAATCTCACATTAGTACCTTCTTTGTGTTTTGTCAAATCTGCAGTGAAAGTGTTCTTGAAACGAACATGTGCTGGGTCATCATCTGAGACTGCTATAACATGAAATATATGGCAGAATGCGGGTAAAAAAGAGCAGGACACATGCAATTCTCCCCCAAGGAGTTCAGTCACAAATTTCATTAATGCATGATTTTTTTAACGAGCGTGATCACTGTGGAACATGTCCTCTGGAATGGGTGGTCGAAGCAGGAAGGGACATACGAATGTTTAGTATATTTGGTATGTAAATACCTTGCATGCCTGCTACAAAAGTGACATGAGAATGCCTGTGCTCACTTTCAGGTGATGTAAATAAGCGGGCAGCATTATTTTCCATAAATGTAAACAAAGTTGTTTCTCTTAGCACTTGGCTGAACGAGAAGTAGGACTGAGTCGACTTGTAGGCTCTAAAGGTTTACATTGTTTTGTTTTTGAGTGCAGTTATGTAACAACAACAAAAATCTACATTTGAAAGGTACACCTTCACAATAAAGAGACTGCACTACACTACTTGTATTAGGTGAACTGAAAAATACTATTTCTTTTGTTAATCATTTTCACAATGCAAATGTTTGGAATAAAAAATAATATAAAGTGAGCACTGTACACTTTGTATTCTGTGTTGTAATCGAAATCAATATATTTGAAAATGTAGAAAAACATCCAGAAATATTTAATATGTTTCAATTGGTATTTTATTGTTTAGCAGTGTGATTAAAACTGCGATTAATCACGATTAATTTTTTTTTAGTTAATCGCGTGAGTTAACTGCGATTAATCGACAGCCTTAGAGAAAACCAATTCAGTGTGTTTTATGGTTTTTATTTAAAAGCAGAAACAACTATAAGGCTAATTTATTATACTTCCCTAAAGTACTAAACAATACGAAAATCAGATTGAGTTACAATGTAGACGGCATTAATCCAATCAAGGAGTTAACAATAATACAAATCAAAACTGGTTAACTAACAAGAAAACAATGAGATCAACAATTTATCAAACCACTGCAGAAGCACAATAAATAATCAACTCACAAAACTAATATAGTACCAATGATTAAATGGCTTATTTAGTCATACACAGACTCCCCACCCCCAACCCACATCCTGCAAAATGGCTAAGACAAGTCTTTCCTGGCAGGCATCCCCGTATCTGTTAAGGAAACAAAAAGAAGCAAAGTTATTCAGGAAAAGAAGGAGGATCTGCTCTTCTGGCTCAGATACAGTCATGCAGTGGGTGTTATCTGCTGACCAACTGGCTGGTCTGCAATGTCTTTGATTCCACTTTCTCTGGGAGGGAAAGTAGAAGTATCTGATTGTTGCGGTGGTGACCTCGGGAGGAGCACACTTCTTCCTTGTTTATCTAGTCCTTTAAGGTAGAAATTCAAGCTGATAATTTCCCATAGGACAGACCACCTCAGTAATCTTTGGACCAAACTGGGGATCACAGGTTTGCATTCCACCTTTACTGTCCAGCCAACCCTGGTCGAGTGAGGTAAATCTAAACACTCTTGGGGCCCTTCTTCCGGGGGACTGATTCTTTGTCACATCCACAGCTCCTGATATTGTGTGCCAAATGCATGGCAATGTAAAAACAAGCATCCTGGAGGTTGAAAGCTGCAAACCAATCCCCTGGATCTAATTACAGTATTATTGAAGCTAGGGTAACCATCCTGAATTTCAAATGCGAAATGAAGGTGTTGAGCATTCTGAGGGCTAGGATCTTCTTTGGTATGAGGAAAAATTTAGAACAGAAGCCTGACCCTCTGTAAGGACCAAGAATTGCTTTGAGAACTGGGAGAGAATTCTATTCTAAAAAAAGCTTATTATGAGACAGTCTCTGAAAAGGGAGATGGAAGGTGGGAGAATGGTAGGTGTAAGTATGGAAATGAATCCTGTAGCCAAATGATATCATGCTAGGATCCATTTGTCCAATTTTAGGCAGTTTCATCAGGCCCACCGATGGAGTAGATACACCCCATATTGGCCAGGAAGGGGTTAATAAGATTCTGTGGGCTCAATAACCCGAACCCCATTACAACTGCAAGAACTGTCAAGCCTAGAAGGAGGCATTAAAAGAGGAAAAAGCCCAGCTCAATAGTGGCTGACTGGCAGAAGGAGTGGGAGGGCCTGGTTGGGACCACAGGAAACATACCAACAGCTTGGAGGAAGGCTATCCTGAGACCGTTAGATGCCAGAGCTTCCTTGGGGGTAGGTATATCTGGTGCAGGACCTTTATATTTGCTTTGTTCATCATAACTAATCTACTTTCCTTTGGGGATCTGTAGAGGAGTGAGCCCAGGAAGACCC